GACCGGGCGCAGCGTTTAGGGTTTAGGGTGAAAACGTGTCGCGAAGACTAGCTTGCATGACTCCATGACTTGACATGAGCTATAGTCTAAACTCCTAGTACCCCCCTTAGTAACCCATATAGTAGTCCCCCATATACAATCCCCTATATAACCCCCCTTTAAGGAGTTTAGACTATAGCTCACATGATGTACACCGATCCTGAATCTTTTGAGGTTTACTTGGGTGCTGAGCTTGCTCCTGACCGGGGGGCAAGAAGGAACTGCCATTAACGCAAATGACCCAAGCCCCGACAAACTGGGGCGGCGACGTGCAAGAGGGGAGGGAAACAATTGGTTCAATTCAGAGTAACGAGTGGCCAAAGGGCGCGATGGCGCAAATGCAATGTAGACCCCTTATTAAGACAGACACACACACACACCCACACACACACCCTTTAATAGGGATTACAATAGGGATTAAGGCCTTTAAAAGGGGGTGAATTAGTCATGCGTCTACGTTAGTGCAACAGACGTTTGTCAAGTCTGCGCAAGCAAGCTGCGCATCCTCCCGAAAACATGTGCCCACTTTATTATACTATGGTAGATGAAAATTCTATAGTGTATTCTGCTATATGAACTTCCGACCTGACAAAGAACGTCATACTTCCAAGCTCCTGGCATACCGTGATGATGTCCGTGGTTATGCTGGTTAATGCGAACCTGAGCTGGGTTGCTGTTAAGGAACTTAATTTAAGTTACTATAATAATGGGGGAATCATATTGATTACTGTATATACCTGTTATGGTAACTTAACTTAAGTTCCATAACAGCAACCCAGTGAGGGGGCACCGACATTCCATGTTCTAGAGCAAGGCTTAGGGTTTGGGGTTTAGCGTTCAGGTTTTTGGAACCCCTGCATTGGAGTTACGGTCTTCGCAGCTGTTTGAGGAAGCTATCGCCGTAGGGTCTTGGGCAATCTCGCCAACGTCATGCTGCCTAAAACTACAGGAATAACTGAGAATCAAATGGAAAAGAAAATGGAAAACAAAATGAAGACTACAAAATATAGTGAGAAATACGGCTATCTGCAGCCCCAAAACATCATCCAGAGTAAGCTGCTTATAGCTTGAGAATTTCCTATACAGATCCTATACAAAAATAGTTTCCATGTCATTTTCCATCGTCTTGTCCAGTTGGTTCTCCATTATTGAGAGAATGCAGAACAGGGGATTAGGGGAGATCGTAGAGAAAATGTGGATTCTTATAACCCTAAACCCTAAATCCTAGTGGATTATACAGCCACCCCTAAACCCTAAAGCCCCTAAACCCTAAAACCCCTAAACCCTAAAACCCCTAAACCCTAAAGCAGATCCAGTGGCCGCGTGGAATTTCTGTGAGGGCTTGTAGATCAGACCCGGCTTCTTGGGGATGATCTTGCGACCTGCTCCAGGGCTCCAGGCAGCAGGGAGTATAAAGAGGTCATATAGGGATTCAAGAGTACTACAACGGGACGTAAGGGAACTATCAAGTGTGGGGGGGGAACACTGCTTGATTCAAGTTTTGCGGTCAGCTACCAAGGGTCCCTCATGCCCGCCTTTCCGGGTCTTGCGGCCGACGGAGGTGAACTCGTACGCGCGCGAGATCCTCTTGCGAATGTTATCCTCAGGACCTTGCGGGATCAGTTGTCCAAAGGGTTTGGTAACGAGGCCTCCTTGCAATAAACAGACCGTGAGGCTCTCTTGCCAGACCCGGCACATCCCGTGTTGGGAATAAGAAACATACTGCAATATAGGGATAAAGGCGAACTAGAAGGGGATATAGGCGTAATATAAGGAAAGAGGACAAGAAAATGGAAACTACTATATGAGCTATAGTCTAAGCTCCTGGATTCCCCCTTAAAAACCACTATAATACTCCCCTATAAAATCCCCTATATAACCCCTTTAAGGAGTTTAGACAAAAGCTCATATTATTATCGGGTATACGTTGGGGTTAGAGACCTAAACCTGAAGCTCGAATGGCCGTTTGCGGAAAACCCAAGGTTCCGGCTGTCTGATGGGCTACCACCATCAGGACCAAGTTCCATGACCGCTTGCACGAACCTTGCAGCTCAGGCACCAAGAAAAAAATCTTAAGAAGGTCAAAAGGCTTGGCCTACGGAAATGCAGACCCCTGATTAATAAACCCCCTCTTTTCAAGGGCCTTAATAATAGGATCCCTATTATAATCCCTGCTAAGGGGAGGGGGTTTATTAATCAGGGGTCTGGGTTATGATGCACAAAAAACACAGTTATGACAGCAGGGCTGCTCCTCCTACCACAAGTACAGCTGGCAAACTTACACTTCTTTCCCTGCCAGTGGCTCGTCATAATCGATCACACCAGCGCGCTTGTAGTCCACCTGAGTGCTGGCTAGGAGGGATCTCACAGACTAGGGTTTAGGGTTTAGGGTTTTAGGGTTTAGGGTTTAGGGGCCAGGGGCTGCATAGCATTTGCCCACAAACGGGCCATGCACCCTGAAGCAAGAGATCATGGTGCACCAGTCACTGCAACTGTTGCAGCTGCAGTGAAGGAAGCCAAGATTTGTCGGCAAGATTGCACAACTAGCCCAGAGGAAAAGCTCAAGTAGTGCAGACCTAACTTGCGTGGTTAACAAAAACCTCCCTTCATCATCTTCATCATTTTCATGATGCACACTCTCCATCCTATGAACCTACTACGTATGCCGGAGATGCCAAGGCAACCATTGCCAATCAAGAACACGCGCATCTTACAAAATGTGTTGGTATCTGCCTGGATCTTTCTGAGTTTGACGCTTGTTGCAGGATGTCCTCGACTGGCATTCCATTGAACTTGTCACCGAAAACCTGCAAAGTGACAAGATCATCAGTGTGTCGCCATGTCGCCGCAACGCTCCCTCGGGAAACCCAGGCATTGGGAGGTTTTTACCAAAAGCCTCAAAGGGAGCCAAGCCTAAGTTTTCCTTCGGCCCCTCGTTCAAAAACGGGCATGGTCCTCGCCTCTCGCAAGTCCTCCACCGAGATGACGCCGCTGGCATCTCGATCTAACCGTTTGAATGCCTGCGAAGCAACACCCTTGAACTTGCTGGTGCTTGGTATGGAATAAGGGATTACAATCCCTTTGCAACAGATTTTCCCTTAGTCCCCTCTAGAAGTACAACATTGCTATACGTACTATAAGTACTACAATGTGCATAACTTCTATAGTTACTAGAAGTATTCTCTTCTTACTAGTCCCTACAAACCCTGGTAACGATGGGAAGCTGAAGGCTCAAGCATGGCCAACCCTAAATCCCATAAACCCTCAACCCTAAACCCCAAATCCTAAAGCCCGCTAAACCTGAAGGCTTGAGAGCATGGCCTGCTTGATGAGCGCCTCGTTGCACATGAAGCGGCTGCCCCGGACTGCTGCAATGAACTCACCTGATTTAGGGTTTTGGGTTTAGCGTCTTATGATTTAGGATTTTAGCGTTTTAGGGTTCATGATTTAGGGTTTTAGGTTTTTAGGGTTTTTGATTTTCAGGGTTTGGGGGTTTCGGGCCTAGGCAGGTACTCCGGAAGTACCAGGAAGCTTACTGGGGCTAGTAAGGAATAAGGGAATAGATAAAACAGGGATAATGCAGAGAGCACCCAGCACAAAGACCTACATGCCACATCCAAGTGGCTGTACTCAATCTCATGGTCCCCAGTGATGTCCAGCCGATCAAAGAGGCTGTTTGCATCCTGACGTGCATGTGGCCTTCTTGGCCCGAATAGGGGACCCGTACGATACAGGCGAACTTCACTAAATACTAGGGATGACTGAAACTGCAATGGAACATCTCTGGACCAGGCATGAAGAGAGGGCATCACAGCATTGTGGAGTGGATGACCTTTGCAAGGCTATTGGAAAATTGCATACAATGCATGAAACGTAGGTACGTCACGGGGCGTCCCTTGTGATATCCTGGTGGATTAGCAACCAACCTGTGGCCACCTATGCAGGCTTCGTACTTGTCACGATCCCTTCGACAAACAGTGTACGCAGCACACAGGTTAAAAAGCACGGTACATGGTTGCAGTATCTGGACCTTATTGACAAGTTACTTACACAATCTGAAACGTTTTTGGAGGCATCCGTCAAAGGGAGGAATGTGAGAACATGTGTGGCGCGCGAACAGCTGTCCTTTGCAGACATGCCCAACTGCTGCTCGAACGCAGAAGCCAGCTGCGCTTTGAGGATGGTTCCGCTGCCTCCACAGCAGCAAATCTTGAGCATCGTAGAAATCCCTACATAATCCTTTCCTTATCCCCTAGTAAGATCCAATAAAGTTTCCCTGAAGCTTCACCATCCAAGGTTTCCTGCGGCCTTCTTTGTCCAGCTTTCTGAACTCGGTCTCCAGGTCTGAGAAATCTGTGTCCCCAGCCATGGTGTAGGAGATGAGGCCGAAAGTTGCTCTCTTCATTGCATTCCTAAGAGTTCTGTTCCCAAAGGGTCCATGTACCCAATAATTTAGTACTTGGGTTTTGGGTAATAATAATTATAATATGAGTTTTGGGAAAGTATATGATTATTAGGTACTTGGACCCTTAGGGGTTAGGGTATATAGGGGTTATATTGGGAGAATGGAAAAGGAAATGGAAACTATTACATTGGGGTTGTATAGGGTTTAGGGTTATATGGGGAGTGTCAGAGGAATTTTCCTTCTGTAAGGGTAATAGGGGTAATAAAGGCAATGTTTAGCGGTTCTAAAGGGTAATATAGGGGCAATATACGGGTAATATAGGGGTTATTATAGGGGGAATGTAAGGGTAATGTAAGGGTTACATAGGGGTTTAGGGGTAATTCTACTCCCATCGTTTCTGCATCTATATAAGCTATAGTCTAAACTCCTAGTATCCCCCCGAATAGCCCCATAATAGGAACCCTATATAATCCCCCATATAACCACCTTTTAAGAAATTACACTACAGCGCATATGTAGGGCTGTAGCCACATTATCTAAAAACCCTGACATGGCTTCAGCTGTCAAGGCACATTGAAGCAAAAGCCCGCAGGTCTTCCAGCACTTTGGGGCTGATCTGCTCATTGGAGATCTGGCGCTTGAAGCCGGTAGGACCTACGGAAGTCACCGAACAGTGTCATACCAAGTCCCCCTCCAAACCCTAAACCCTAATACCTGTAAACCCTAAACCCTGAACCCTAAACTGAGCTGTAGGGCCGGGGCACCCTGTGATCTGCAAGGCACATTTATCACGTTGGCCATCCCGTAGGACAGGGAACCCAAATGAACCCAACCAACATGACCTAACCAGAGGCAAAAAGCCACTCAGCAAGCGCGATGCAGTCTGAACTCCTAGCACCCCTGCTAACCCCTATCATACTCCCCTATACAATCCCCTGCATTTAACCCGCTTCAAGGAGTTTAGACCCTGAACCCAACATAATTTCAAAATGGCACCACTAATTTTAGGAAACCCTAAACCCTAAATAACTACCTTTTCCGTGTATCCTCGCGACGTGAACACACAACACGCTGTACACCATGCCCCTATCTTACTCATTTCGGCCGCTATATAACGCACTTCGGAAGATCCGCACGAAATTATCTAAGGACTTCCGTCGGAGGTGCCTGCGAAAAACCTACATACGGTCAAGTTTGAAACGCTCTGACTGACCCTTCCTTAGGGCTCACGTGTAGCTGGTAAAGCCCATTAAAATCCTGAAAATAAGTACGTAGGAGGCTCTGGGACACCCGATATGCAATATACTAACGTTTAGGGCTTATAATCCCCTAAACCCCTAAACCCCAAACTCCTAATTACACCCGAAACCCTAAAACCCTAAACTCCTAAACCCTAAATCGCCCCGCGCCCGCCTAGCTGCGCCAGCCACTCGTGGCGGCTGGCCTCACGGGCCCCTGGCCTGCTAGGGACGTCACGGGTCAGCAGCTGTGACCTGAGCGTGTATATTGTATTATAATTTCGTATATTGTAGTATACTATAGCACCTTTTAATGCAATATACTACAGTATAGTCTATTTTAGTGAATCATAGTATAGTGTACTATCTGCAGTATATTCTCGCATATTGCATCATCTTGCAGTATATTATGTGTGTTCCTTGCAATGGAGGATATGAAGCGAAAAGAAAAAAGTCTAGGCTAGGGCTCTGACACGAAGTCTTTCGCCTCATCTGAGACGTCATCCCAATTAGGACCTGGCTGGAATCAGGAAGGTCGGCACTGCAAACTTGAGTATTATAGTATAATATGATAGTATATTATAGTGAACTACAGTATACTCTAGCATCCTATATGACACTATGGTATACTATGATATAATATGGCACGCTATAGTATATTATAGTATATAGTATATAGTATATTATGGTTGGATGATTACCCCTCGCTCAAGGTCGACCAAAGGATTGAGTTCACACATCTCTCGAGAAAGAAAGCGACCCCAGCCGGCCGAAGTCCAGGCAGCCCATGCCCCTAAGACCCTAAGACCCTAAAATCCTAAAACCCTAAAACCCCTAAACCCGAATACCTTAAAACCCTAAAACCCTAAAACCCTAATACCCTAAAACCCTAAAACCCTAAGATCTACTGGCCGTGCCAGGTGGCCGTAAACGTCCAACGGCTCATTGAGGATCTTTTGCATGGTCCAATCATCGCAGTGGCCGTCATAGAAGGGTGGCTCGCCGCTGAGAAGCCTCTTTTGCATGCCCAAACCGATCCCTAGGGTTTAGGGTTTAGGGTTTAGATTGGGATAATGGAAAAGAAAATGGAAACTACTATAGTATATTGGGGTTATGTTGGGATAATGGTAATAATGGAAAAGCCCTCTGAAACATTATAGTAGTTTCCATTTTCTTTTCCATTATACCCTATATAACCCCATATAACCCCAATATAACCCCAATATAACCCTAATATACCTAAGAAGGCGCAGTCACCTCAGATGCCAATGCCTTGGAAACTTCAGCCAAAGGGCATGTAGGCAATGACGCCCATGCTCCAAATGTCGCACTTGTAGTTGTAGCTGCCTGTGGAAAGTTGGCAGCGCCGTCGAAGACAGCAAGATGATACGCTGCATCAATTTCTTGCGCATTGGGTGTGGTTGAGCTGTGCAGAACCGCCACAGTCCAAATCCGTTATCTTCTCAAATCCCCACGTTATCTTCTTCAGTACTGAGCCTCTAATCACTTCCGGAGCGATGTAGTAGATCGTGCCAAGGAGGGCCGTCATCGGCGACTCCTGCAGAGCAGGGGCTGAGTGCTGCAAACGAAGGTCACAAACGAGGGCAAGTAGGTAGCTCAGAACCCTGCCCATGTTGAGCATCTCTCCGAACGCGAGTCCAAAAAGAGTAGCACCGCTCTACCCTGTTAGAATGGTGTAGTGAGACCTGTTCCAGAAAGTCTGAAAACTTCCCCTGAATCCTGAACCCTAAATCCTTGTGTGAAGTGGGCCTGCAACAAAGTTGACCTGCGGGTGACCCGTCATGGAATGAAAGAGCTAACGTGAAAACGCGGAGTTGCTAACTGAGCCCCCTTCCCTCACAATAGTAAACCCTCATAATCATACTACGAATACGTAACAAAATAGAAATAATGGCCGGAGGGTTTAGGGTTCTAGGGAAACAAATAGTGGAAACAATAGTAGGAATAGACATAATGAAAATAATGCCAGCAATATGTACATATAATCCCACTTAAGGAGATAGAATACAGGCTATGTGCGGATCTTATTCTAATGTACTCAAAGCCATATTCTACCTACTTAAGGTGGACGCTCTCTATATATATATATACACACATATACATATACACACATATATATATATATACATATATATATATATATGCATCGCAAGTCCTCAGAAAACTCTTTCGCGAAGCCAAAGTCAATCAGCTTCAGGGTCGAGTCCAAGCAGTTGTCCTTGTAGACCTCATCTGCGAGAGTTTGCATTTCAGTTTGCAGGGATACGATAGTATACAAAAGTATGTAATAGTATAATATAGTATATTG